TTGGAGCCCTTCCACATGTCTCTCTTGAAACATTTCCAAAAGATTATTAAGTCTAAGACACGAAAGCTCCAGGGTTCAGAAGGAGAAACAGAAACGCCAACATGCGAGGGAGAAAAGAATTGGCATAGTGCTCTTACGAAAATACCTTGAGGGGAGAAGGGCAGCTGGCAAAACAAACCTGGAACATGCATGTCTTTTGCATAAAAATACACTACAGCAAGGCATTGAACCCAGGGGCAAAGCCAAAGGGATGAAGCTCTGCCCTGTGCAGCCAGTGCAGCCACGGCCTTCCTCTGTGGCCTTGACCAGTAACTTATCCAGGCCTAAGAATGCAAACCTGTAAAATGAGGGCTGTATCACTGTTAATCTTAAATGACACAGGATTTTGAAGACCCAGATCTAGGATTTTGACTCCCAAGCAGATTCTAGATCAGCCTCAGGCACAGCCTGTAACAATGGTGCTGAACCTGGCAGCCCCAGTAGCCAGAACAGCACCAGGGCCCGCACATAATCCTACAGGAGTCTCTTAACCAAAGCCTTGGGGTCAGCAGTTCCTTTACGTTGAGTTCAAGTGTCACCACACTTGGGACTTGTATTTCTGCATAGACAGCTCCAAGCATCAATGCAGGCAGAGGTAATATACATCAGAGAGGCCCTGGGAACTGGTCAGATGGCTAACTCTAGCTGGGTTTCAAGAAGTATTAGGCAGGATTTATCACTGATATATAAGTGACACTTGACCAAGCCCAGCACCCAAACTCTCAAAGCATGGTAACCAAGAAGAGTGAGTTCAAAGAGAAAGAAGAAGACGGTGTCGGGAATAGGTACTTAAATGTGAACCCAAACCTTCTGCCACATACCTCCCACTCCTTGGCCAGGCCAAATCCCATATCCTGCCTTCTCTGGCATCATTTGGGGCCTCAGATTCTATCTCTGGCTTCAAGGCACAAGAGTCATTCAGATTCTTCCCTTGTTAGGCAATTTCTCAAACCCTGACCCCATTGTTGTGCAAACACCTCTCTCTGCTACAAGTCCTTCCAAAGTCCTTTTTTCTCCCCAGCCACCTACTTCTCCCCTAGCTTAGTCTCGGACTTCTAATTAAAGAGCAGCACTTGGATTTTGTTTTTCAGAGTTAGGTGAAGAGTGCTAAACCACAACGTCCAAAAACTAGAGTGAAGCCAAAACTGTACTTGGATAACTAGTTTGAATTATGACCTGTCCTAACTAGACCAACTGTCTCCCAGCCCTCAGCGGAAGGACTGCTACTCCCACACCTGGCAAGACAGGGAATACACTCTGCACAGGGAACCCACCAACAGCTAACAGAACAATGGCTTTCAGCTGAGGACCTTTGCTTAAAGGGGTTTCTTGGAACTGTGAATGAATAAAGAATTGTTTTAGGTCAAATGAATGAATAAAGAAGATAAAATAGCTTCCTCCGTTTCTGAATTTAGTTCAAGCCTAAAATTCACACTCGCTGCCTGCAAGTTAGAACCCACCCATAGCTGACCCTCTGGCATTTATTCAGAAGCTAGAGGTTATAAATCACACAGGAGGTGACTGACCTTCTTTCTCCTGAGGAATAGACAGTGGATACAAATCGCCTAACTTTGGGCTGGTAGTGTAATTCTTACTCACCAGGCCAAGCAAGAGTTCAAATGTGAGTCTTGCATAATCTCATTTCAAACGAGGAAAAAAGGAGACTATCCTCCCAAAAGCAGAAGGGAGGGATCAAAAGTAAGCAATGTCACTCAGCTAGTTGCGAAGTAATTCTTAAATGAGACCGAAATCTTTCACAGAAAGTACAACAAAATATCATTTTCTTAAATGCACAGGCAGAAATTCGGGGAAATAAGAAGGGAGGGGCACAAGCAGGAAGTTGGTGATGTTGGGGTGCTGAGTCCGTCCCCAGTAGCAACGGAATTTTCCTAGAGAGGGGTGAAAGGAGTAGATCTATGATAGCCAACCCACTATCCAGTCACACATATCAATTCTATGCCTACTGGAGATGCAGAATATTTTAAAAGGTACTTAAGAGCCATGAACCAGGATATTGGAATTGTAATCTAAGATGCTTGTGAGCGAATTCTCTAAATAAACCAAAGGGATGAATCTTAAAACACAAGTTCAAGCAGCTGGGAAGATATTTTGAGCTGAGGGGATTTTTGCATCAAATCCCAGATTTGATTCTCCCATCAAGACTTGTGGACAGCTTGTCAAATTTCAGCCTTAGACAGTTTTATTATCTGTGATTTACCAATGGAGAACTGATTTATAATGGAAACATTTAGTGACATCTACTCAGATTCCACAGCAACGGCTGGCACACACCTCCCTACTTCACTGCCCTCAAGAGCAGACTGTTGTGTCCATGTTCCATTCCAGCCTTTGAAACCACTGATGTGTAATGATTGAAGACTAACTGCCTTGCAGGAGGGACCTGGAGCGCTCAGAGAAGGATGAATTACCTATCCACAGCCAGGCCAGTAGTTATAGTCCTGAGCCAAAAGCAGTGGCTGTTAAAAGTTAGAATGAAAAAAAAAGGCAAAGGAATAGTGCTTTCATTATTCTTGCAAACAGTGAGCACTTTTTCCTATAAGCATCTTCTCTTCTCCCTGGGGGCGCCCGCTTAACCGCCACTCTGGTGTCGAGGTGCCAGCTCAGCAGAGGACGCTTCCTGTGGGCCAGAGAGGCAGCTTACTGGGCAGGTTGTGCCTTGCTGGCTGACCCCAGGTGGACGAGGAAGGTTTGGCTTCCTTCTCTCAGGACCAGGGGAGGCTCTCAAGGTGCCCAGGACACAGGATTGCAGAATATACTCACTTTCTTCAGGCTCCTCCACTTAGTCTCATTCCAGCTCACAGAACGCGCGCGTGTGTGTGTGTGTGTGTGTGTGTGTGTGTGTGTGTGTGAAAGTATAGAAGGCCAGGTAAGAAGTTCTCAGACCATGATCCCTGGGCCAGGAATACCACCATCAGTATCACTTGAAAACTTGTTAAGATTGCAAATGAAATGAATGGACAGTCAGACATTGGGTGCACTGCAATTAACAACGTGTGACAGGATATACATAACTGACTGGAGGAAAATGCTAAGGAAAGGTTTACACATAGAAATAATTGTGGATGGTTGACAGGGATGAGAGGGAAGGGAGAATGGAGCAGAGATGGTAGGGTGAAAGAAAAGAGAGATGAGATGTTATTAATGACATTCCTCAATTGTAATTAATGTTATAAAACAAAATGTACATGAATGATTAAATAAAAAAGATTTTTTTAAAGCAAATAAATTTTTAAAAGGACTTAAATTGGAACAAAACCTCCAAAAAGAAAGAAAAAAAACACACCCCAAACAAAAATAGAATGCAAATCACCAGGCCTCCTTGCAAACTCAGTGGATCAGAAGTTGTGGAGGTGAGGCCCGGCAGTCTGCGTTCCCACAAGCACACCGAGTGAGTCTGATGCCTCTAAACTTTGGGAAGCCCTGTGCTAAAGAACAGTGCTCTCAAAAGGCAATCACATGGTGCTAAGTGCAGCCATCTCTGAAAGTGCTTCGCAGAACACATGAAGGCAAAAGGGTGGGTGGGGAGGTTAAAGAGGTTTTCCAGGGGCTGTCAGCAAGGTTGGGTTTGATCCCATACTGAATCAGGAGTGCATTTCCCCAGCCATCTCTAAACAAACTGTCAAGACTGTAGGCAGTGACTGTACTGCTGAATTGGGTTCTCCATTTTCCTTCTCCTGCCAAGACTGCTCAGAGCTGACCACTCATTGACATGATGTGGCACGAACTAGTCATTTGAAGATTCTAAAACAGAGATCCTTGATACAAAACTGGGCTAAAGTAATCTTCCGTAAAAGAATTAGATTAGGATTAGCTAATGTATGCAGTCCTCAAACAGAAGCCCTGGCAGAGGAAGCTGCTGGGATAGTTTATACATCCTAACCCTCGTGGCATAGTGTTAGGTATAAGTGTCAGGCTGCTAATAAGGTTCAAATCTACCAGTTGCTTCTCAGGAGAAGGATGAATAGTTTTCATCTGTAAAGATTTGCCGCTTTAGAGATCTGATGGGATGTTATAAACAGGTCAAGCAGTGAATTTAATCAGGGGTTTGAAGGGTTCTACCTTTCTCCAGGGACCTGTTGTTGTTGTGACCCTATGAACAAAAGGCCTGAAGCCCTTCTACAACTAAAGACATTTATCAAAGTTCATCGAGTTTGCAGAGGCATGTTATTGAGGAAGTGGATGCCACTCCAAAGACCTAGGTTTGAGGATTTGAAGCCAGAGGACAGATACTGGGGGAATGGGGTTAGTTGGTCTTGTTTAAGGGGCACTCTTTATAAAAAGGAGGCTCTTTGCTAGTCTGAATGGCCTGGGGCAGTAGGTTTCTAAGTAGTGATGGCATAAGTGAGAGCGGAAGGAAATGAGACCAGACATTCATGCCAGCTGTTGGACATTACAGGATGAATTTATCTTCCGGCTTAGAGGTAAGAGTTTGTAATGTCAACCCAAAGGCATGCAGTTCAAATCCAGGGGCACGAGGGCAAGATCATGTAGCGAGAACACTGGCCGCTAAAATGCCTGTGAGGTCAGCGCCCTGTGGTCCCTGCACACCACGTGGACGTGGAAAGGCTGCAAGAGCTGAAGAGCCCAGGTTCCCTGCGATCTCCCAGGTCACCAGTGTATCCAGAGAGGGCAATGGCTTGCACGGTGACAATCGCTAGCCAAGCTCTCGTCTTTCCTTCAGCCAAGAAGTGCTGGGAGAGCTGCAAACTCCGAGAGTGTCCACCCCAGCCAGGTAAACAAAGATGACTCCAGCGTGTCCTCCAAGCTAACCCGCCCCCCCCCCCCCACACACACCCCGCAGCACAGCTGAGGGTAGCGGGAGTTGAAGATCGGAGGTGACTCACGGTATTCCTTCACTGTCAGATAACAAGACCCATATGAAACAGCCAACCAGCAAGAGAGAAAGTTCACCGGGAGCCCTCTACACAGAGCCCCCTTACCTTCCTCATTTAAAATCCACGGCAGGAACGCGAACACTGAGTCAAAGGCGCAAGTGTTCTCCTCGAAGGCGCACGACCCGGCAGGCAGGTCCCGGGCTCCCGAGAGCCAAAGCGCTGTGGACACAAAATGAGTTTCAGTTCAGCTTCGGGTCAGGGCGTTTGTTCCAGCTCGGGGCACCCGGGTGAACGCCCGGCGAAAGGGGCGAATGAATACAGTGCGGAGAGAGTGGAGAGGTGCGCTCCTCTGCCCACACGGCCGCTCCGGGGTGCGCCCCCCAGACTTGGCTTGGGGAGCAGCGAGGTAAGCGTCTGCAGAGGATCGCGAGGCACTGGCATCTCCTGTCCCGGGGCTAAGCGGGAGGAGGGAGCGGGTCCCCGGCGCCTCCCGGGATGGGGTGGGGGTGTCACCGAGTCCAGGGCATACCTTGCAGCAGCAGGAGGACGCCACTTAGCAGCATGGTTGTGCTTCTGGGAAGGCAAAGGGAGGTGCTGTCAATCCGGGGAACCGTTGTTGGTGGAGGAGGGTGGGGCGCTCTTGACCCCGGAGAGAGAAGTTCGAGGCACAGAGGGCGGCTGGAGCTGCCGGGCTTCGCAAAGTGGCTGGAGTAGTGTAGAAAGGCTCCAGGGTGGAGGCTCAGCTGCACTTGCAGTCAGTTCGCACCCGCAGTGAAGCCCATCAGCTGTGCAGCTCTGGCGAGGGCGAGGCTGGGGAGGCCCCTTGGAAAGGCCACGCCGCCGCCACTGGCTGGGAGAGGAGATCAGGAGGCTGCACCTTCTCTCAGGATTTTAAAGCTTGGGGCCAAACCGGTTGGAGACTCTTGGAAGGGGCCGGCCTTCCAGGACATCTCCCTCCCGCTGGGCTGGAACTGTGTGCGCCCGCCCCGCCCATCTGCGGTGGGAACCGGCTTATTACTGGGGGCAGCCTCCCAGCATTTGGCCATCTAGTCCGGCAGAACTGACCCTAATTTTAACTTCTCATAATGGAAGGGAGCTCTGGTGGCCTAGTGGTAAGGAGCTGCGCTGCAGAGGGGTGGAATTCTCTTAGGGGAGTCTGGAAATTCTGCAAACGATTGGGTGGAATAGACTTTCTATCTCAGGAGTTTTGGAGTTTATGGCCTCACAATGGTAACCCTGAAATGTCACACACAGCCCCCTTTTTTTAGCCCGTGGAATGTCTGGCATGCCTGATGCTCAGCATTCCCAAGGTCCGAGGACATGGGGACATTCCTCCACTCCACAGATACATGCTAAATTAACAGAAAGGTCTAGACTGGGTAAGGGGGGGGGGGGGGGGGGGGGGGGGGATGTTACTCTGAGACACTCTTGCCACAAGTCTGTTTTGCACGTGATCTCAACTGTGGGTTGGTTTCTTAATGCTTTTTGTAATTTTTGCTTAATTTTATGTTTAGAAAGGTGAACTTTGGGATGCAGCAAAAAGCCCTGGAGGATTTGTTCAACACAGATTGAGACAGCCCTGGGAAGAGTTTCTGATTAGATCTGAGTATAGTTCCTGACTAGAAGAGATTTGAGAGTCTTTTGATTCCTAATAAGTTGACAGGTGGATTCTAGACTCTTCTGATTTTCCTTATCCTTCACTGGCACTTCCTTCTCGACCTCCTGGTTTCTTTCTTGATAAAGTGCCAACTTCACCATCTCTGCGACTCATAGCAAACTGTATACAACAGCTCTGAACTCAGACCTATCCTGAACCAACACATCATTGATGGTACAACGTTCTATCATTGTATCTCCAGACACATTTCTGTCACCAAGACCGCGTTTCCCAACTACTGATCTTTCTTCCTTGTTTCCAAACTTGGCATTCCAGTCATCTATTATTATTAACACATCTTAGTTGCACTTTGGATCAATTTCCGATTGAAAAATTTGGTAGAAATCTTCTATTTCCTCCTCTTTGGCTCTGGTTGTTGGCGCATATATTTGAATGATAATGGTATTGACAGGTCTTCCTTGTGTACGTATGGCTGTTGTCCTGTCACTCACAGCATTATATTTCAGAGTGGATCTAGAAATGGTCTTTTTTACTATGAATGCTAATCTTGAGAAGAATGGGGGTCCCAGAACACCTGATTTTTTAAAAAGTATTAATACTTTAATGAAAGTTTAAAGAAAACTTGGATTTCCATTCATTCATTCATTCATTCATTCATTCATCCAGTTAGCTTTTCTCTTTAAAAAGATTCTTTAATTGTTCCACAATTTCCTCCCCCTCCCACCCCCAGTCCACTTTGCTATGGACCTCTTATTGTGGACAGTTGTCATTGAAATAATACCTAATCATCTATTCCTTTTAAACAGTTCTTTCCTTCATTTGTTTCAATGCAGTCAAGAACACCTGATGGTACTCGTGTGAATCCTATACTTGGACCAGGAAACAGTCATCAGAGCAAGGAAACACCGCATGATTCAAAATCGGGAAAGTCATGCTTCAAGGATGTGTCTTATCTCCATACATTGCCATGGGAAAGTCTGCTGTTAGGGACCTCTCCAAAGTACTGAAGAGCAATGGTGTCTCTCTGGAGACTAAGGTGTGTCTGATACAGGCCATGGTCTTCGCAATCACTTGTTATGCATCAGAGAGTTGGACAATGACCAGGGAGGATAGAAGGAGAATTGATGCCTTTGAGATGTGGTGCTGGAGAAGTGTATTGAGAATACCATGGACTGCTAGGAAAACAAACAGATTTGTCCTGGAAAGGGTTAAACCAGGTGGCTCCTTGGAGGCAAGGATTCTGAGGCTCCGTCTAACATACTTTGGACATGTTGTGAGGAGAGACCGGTCCTTAGAGAGGGACATCATGCTTGGGAGGTTGGAGGGACGGCACAGGAGAGGAAGGCCCTCTATGAGGTGGATTGATTCAGTGACTGGGATAACTGGGATGGGAGTGTCGGAGACAGTGCGATTGGCACAGGACAGAGCGGAGTTTAGGGCTGTTGTACATAGGGTCGCTATGAGTCACAGGCGACTCGACGGCACATAACAACAACAACAATGTGAAATAGATTACTCAGGGGGCTGGTCTTTATGAGGAAGAATGTGGTATCAGAATTGGAGGAAGACTCATCAACAGCTTGCTCAAATGTTGCATACAGTTGATGGCACTACCTAGCTCACTGATACTGAGTAAGACCTGAAGTATCTGCAGCAGAAAGTCAAGGACACAGTCCTCAATGTGAATCGAAGCTCAACATTAAGAAAACAAAGATTTTCACCACTGGGCCAATTGGCAGCATCGTAATTGATAGAGCAGAGATTGAGATTGTCAGTAATTTCAGCTTGCTTGGATCAACAAGCAACACTCTTATCACCAGCAGCCAGGAAATAAAAAGACAAATTGTACTGGGAAAATCTGCTTTCAGGGACCTCTTCAAAGTGCTGAAGTGCAAAGATGCCAGCTTAGAAACTAAGGGGTGCCTGATCAAAGCCATAATCTTCTCAATTACTTGCTATGACAATGGATAAGGATGGCAGAAGAATTGATACCTTTGAGTTGTGGTGCTGGAGAAGAGTATTGAACAAATCACAGATAGCCAAGAAAACAAATAGGTCTGTCTGTAGAGAGTGAAACCAAGTTGTTTTCTGGAGGCAAGGATTTTGAAGCCCCATCGCACATATCTTGGATATGTTGCCAGGAGGGACCAGTACTTTGAGAAGCACGTCATACTTGGAAGGGTGTAGGGACAATGCAGGAGAGGAAAACCCCAGATAAGATGGATCGACACAGTGACTGGGTTAATGGGACTTGGCATATCAGAGATGGTGAAGTTGGCCCAGGATAAGTCAGGGTTCAGAGCTGTTGTACATAGAGGTCGCTATGAGTTGCAGGTGACTTGAGGCACATAACAGTGACAACAACATGGACTGATGACTTGCAAGCTTAATCATTCCCTCTGAATTCCACCTGTCTCTTGCTGCCACTCCAGCATCTCATTTTGATGTGTAAGAGCAATCTCAAAGGTAACAAGTTCCAAGATAAGTGCCTCCTACACCTTCCCAAACCTGCCTCCCTCCTGCATTTCTCTATCTTAGTTAAAGGAATCCTTTTCCTCCGGTTGCTCAAATCAAAACCCTTGGAGTCATCCATCTGTATTGTAGTGGATTGATCAATGTGGCTTTTCTAGCCACTGTCCATGTAGCTCTCACCACATGGCCGGATCTGTAAATGATAATGGGAGAAAACTGTCTGTCTTTCTGTTAATGCACCTTGTTGATTCAAATGGATTGAAATACATAGCCTTTGGGTTAGCAGGGCCACTTGGCTGTGGACTATGGCACCAGAGCTCCCCACATGGCTGCATGTTGTTGTTGTGTGATAGAGTTGAAATCAAACCATCCCTTCCAGCAGGTTTTAAGAAGCAGTAAATTGTATGGGAGGAAATTTCCCATTCTTCTCCTGAGAAGCAGCTGGTAGATTTGAACTGCATGCATTTGGGTTTACAGCACAGCTTCTTTCCACTAGGCCGTGAGATGTTTGTAGCCCACCAGTGGGATGAGATAGCTTGTGAATATTTTAAGCAATGTAAATGGCATCTTGTAAGTGTTGAGTGCCCTCTGGTTGAGTAGGACTCATAACCACCCTGTGAACAACAGATCTGAACCTTGCCCCGGCTGCACCATCCTTGTCATTCCTAATACACTTGACCCCATTGCTACAGACACTGAATCAATTAGTCTCATTGGTGCTCCTCCTCTCTTTCACTAACTCTCCACCTTTCCAGCCTGATGTTCCTCTCTAAGACCCTTGAAAAGACGGATTGACACAGTGACTGCCGCAATGGGCTTAACTGTGCCAGAGATGATGAGGATGGCATCAGGGTAGGACAGGGTTCAGAAATGATGGTCACTAGCTCACTATGAGTCATACTTGACTTGAAGACATTTAGCAACAGCAACATGGCCAAACATGTGAGGTGAAACTTTACCATCCTTACCTAACCAAAGGAGTACTTTGGTTGCACTTTCTCCAAGACAGAGCTATTTGCTCTTTTGTCAGTCAGTAGGCTTCAGTACTCCAACACCACAGCTCAAAGGCATAGATTTTTTTTCTCCTGCATCTTTATTCATCCTTATAGATTAGACTATGTAAATAAGATGTACAGAGTGCTAACATGAAAAAGTTTTACCATTTCCCAAGCTTGAAGTTGAGTGGGTTCAGAAACAGAAATAAGAATCTCCTATCAATATCAGGAAAGAAGAGACAAAGTGCATTGCATCTTTTGGGTTAGAGATTCTATCATGAGATGTAATGAGACGAAGACATGGTAGCTCAAACAGTAGCAGCAGTGGTGACAGCAGTGGTGACAGCAGTGTTGGTGGCAGAAAACCAGAGACCAAGGTAAGAGAGAGCTGAGCCAGGTCTGTAAATCCGCAGAGCTAAAGCTGAACACCTTTAAGTCAGGTTTACTGGTGCAGTGCGGGTGGTATATAATTGACAGA